CTTTCGAATCTCATCAGAGTCGCCCAGCGAATGTTAACCTTATAGAAATTTTAGTTACACTTTATTTTATTTATTTATTCAGTTATTTGAACATTCTTAAAAGTGATATTTCTGTAACCTTATTAGCTATCATGATTTACTGTGTAAGAAATACAAATCTTAAACTTTAAAATTGTTTCTGCTATGGTTACCGAATTTAATATTTTCATATTCGATAAATTCTGGACTTTTACGAATATTATAAAAGTAAAATTTTAAACGTATTAAATTAATATTATAAAAAATAAATGTAAAAATTATTTATGAACTAATATGCTATTAGTATGCAAAAAGTTAATTCGATAATATTTTTTATTGCGAAAGTAAAAAAATACCCTTTTGATAAAAGTATAAAAGTATTCTAAAATTTTATTTTAAAATATTATTTTTAAAAATAACCAAAGTTACCAAATGCTATGTGCTATATGTAATTAGAACTAATGCTTGATGGGATAAAACTTTAGGTTGTTCAATTGCCACACCATGTTAGGTCATACTTATCTTTCCCTTCCAACTTATAGAGAAAAATGTTTAGAAAGTTAAATAAATTAAATACATATATATATATATATATTAATGAAAATTAAAGCATATTGAAATTTTAAATAATTATAATTATTGAAGTTAAGAAAATTAATTATTTCGTATTAAAAAATATAATATATTTGTTCAGATGTAATTTAATTTGACAAGTGCAACATTAGTAACTAATTAATAAGTTGTCGTCAATTCTATCGAATTACATATTGCATAATGACCATTATTAATTATAATACACTAATCCTACTTATAATTTTTTTAAGTGAAACAAAAATCCTACTTAACACACACCAAATTATTACACACACTTAAAAAGTAGCCGACAGATTTAAGTGAAAAGGACAAAATAACAGGGAAGATCTTGAATTTATTTATGTCTAACTCTCCAATTCACTATTTGTTCATATGTTCTTTAAAAATAAAAAATAAAAAAAAATTACCATGTATTAATAATTATAAAATCACTATGAAAAATATTTCAAACTAAAATTTATTATTAATATAAATAGACAAACAGGTAAAATTACTTTTAATTAAAATATTTAAAATAATTAAAATGTAGTATAAAAATTTACAGTTCTTCGTACGACCCATTCCATAAAAAGACGCATATTTTTTTCTCTTCAAAGAGAATCTCTGCAAAAACCCACAAACACCCAAACAAGAAAACTGAAACCCAACCTCCTCCTCCCCCCAACTTTCTCTTTCTGGTTTTTTTCTACTTTCCCAAACAGACCCCAGAAACCCGCCATGGAGATCCAACAAAAGCTTCTCAAGTTCAAGTACCACATACTCTTCTCCTTCACTCTATGTGCTTTCATCTTCTCTCTGCTCGTCTGGGCTCCCAGTTTCCTCACTATTTTAGCTTACTTCTGGCCTCTCTTCCTCTCCACCGCTATG